CCGGCTGGCTTTAGTGTCAAAGTGGTCTTCTCAGAGCAGGTGCTCCCTGCAGCTGACCCTCCTCCTCTCATGGCATTGGACACAGCAGGCCTCCCGCCTCACAGCACACTCCTCCTCTTGGTTCCAGGACCTGCTGCCCTACTGGTTTTGCTCCACCCCACAGGCAGCTTTGCTAGGTCACCCTTGTCTTGGTGACCTCTGGCCTCTGGCATGGCCGGGGCCCTTCCTCCGAGCCCTTCTGTTTTCTTCCTGTGCTCCTGCGATGAAGGCTCTGCTCTGCAGGCCATTCCCCCTCAACAGAATCTGCTGCTCAGACCCCTCCCCAAGCTCCAGACCATGCTCCACAGCCCTGTATGGGGCCTGAGGGCACTGCCACCTCATGCATCCAGAGCACTGCTCCTCGTCCCCAAGCCCTCTGAGTCCCAGCAAATGTGCTCCCGATGCTCAGGCCCAAACCCTGGAGTTGTGTTTGCTCTTTTCTCTCCCACCCACCCCTCAGTGAGCCCTGCACTCAGTCTGTCCAGGATCCAGCCCTTTCCCTGGGGCTTCCTGGGCATCCAGGGCTCAGGGTTCCATCAGTGTCTCCTGGAATAAGGGTGTCTGTTGCCATGCCCTGGCTTCCATCTTTTTTTTTTTTTTTTTTTTTGCAACAGAGTCTCACTCTGTTGCCCAGGCTGGAGTGTAGTGGCAAAATCTCAGCTCACTGCAACCTCTGCCTCCCGGGTTCAAGCCACAGCTAGGATTACAGGCATGTTCCACCATGCCCGGCTAATTTTTGTGTTTTTTTTTCAGTAGAGATGAGTTTCATCATATTGGTCAGGCTAGTCTCAAACTCCTGACCTGGTAATCTGCCCACCTCAGCCTCCCAAAGTGCTGGGATTACAGGTGTGAACCACCATGCCTGGCCCCTGGCTTGTCTCTATGCTGTCTGTCCTGCCAAAGCATCACCCTTGCCGGGGCCTGGGGAGGGGGAGGGAAACTGAGTGTCTCCAGTAGCTGGGGAGCCTGGCATGCAGTGCATGCTTGTGGAAGGAATGACAGGTTAAATGCACATGAGGACCTGGAAGATAAATCAGAAGTGGCCAGAGTGTGAGGTAGGCAAGGCCACATTATCGCTCCCATTTTACAGAGGAGGAAACTGAGGCCTGACAGGCATCCTGAGCTGCTGATGGCAGCATCCCTGGTGTTCAGACCTGGATCTCAGCCCATGCCTGGTAACACCCTGCCCCACCACTGTCTACTAGGGAGAGAGGCTTGGGCCACAGAGAACTGGGCACTGTGGGAGAAGCGAGAAGCCACATCAGTGATTCATCTGAAAACCAGAGTTGAAAGGGCAAATGCTGGCCCCAAGGACAGAGCACTCAGTGGGCAGGATGGGCAGGGGTGGGCAGGGAGCAGAGCAGCCCTGCCCCCATAGTGCAACAGCATCCATCTGAGTTTTCAAAAAGGCTCCCTCCCTGTTCCACAGGACCCCTTGCCCCGGCCCAGCCTCCCCAGCACCCCTAGGAGGCCTCTTTCCTGGAGATCCTGCCTCCTCCCCTTGCCAGCCCCAACCTGCAGTCTACCCCACACCTGTGGCAGCAGAGGGAGGCTTATACAATGCAACTGCTGCCACTTCCCTGCGCTGCTGCCCCCACTGCCCTCCAGGTTGACACTGTGGCATTTGACCTCCCATGGCCCCACTTGCACTGGCCTGCAGCTCATCTCCTTTCCGTCTGACTGTCCATCCCTCTGTGCATCCCTAATACATCGAGACACTCCTGCCCCCAAGCTGTTTGCCATGCCTCAGACATCTTCTCAGACTCGGAGAGCTTAGAAATCCCTCCTGTGTTTTCAGAAGACAGTGCAAGATGCCCCTGAGACTGCTGCAGTCCCCTGCAGACCTGGGGCTCCTTCCTGGGGCCCTGCAGTGGCACTCACCTCTCTGGCAGCCCCAGCAGTCTCACTGAGTCCAGGCCTGGGTCTCTCTCACCATGGGGTCCTCCCTGCCTAGCCCAGGCCCAGGACCAGGGAGGGACACTGACAGCTGAGCTCCAGGGACCCTGCTTTCCAGCCCTGGCAGGGCCAAAGAGCTGAGTCCAGGTCAGCCTTGCAGGAGACCCACTGCCCGTGAGTTCACATCCTTAACCCTGGCGGTGTCCAAGCCAGCTGGCTCAGTGAGGACACAGACACCAGGTCCCCAGCTTCCCAACAAGAGGAGGCACCGAGGTACCCTGGGGTGGAGCACAGCCTCTGACTATGACAATGCCCTCAAGAAGCAGGTGGTGCAGGTGAGGGGACCCTGGATTTGAGGACACACATCTGCGTTTGATCCAAGGACAGCTCTTTACCAGATGGACAAGCCTCAGTTTCCCCCCTCTGTTTTGTTTTGTTTTGTTCTGTTTTGTTTTGTTTCTGAGAGTCTCACTCCTTTTGTCCAGGCTGGAGTGCAATGTCACAATCTCACCTCACTGCAACCTCTGCCTCCCAGGTTCAAGTGATTCTCCTGTCTCAGCCTCCCAAGTAGCTGAGACTACAGATGCCAGCTACCATACCCAGCTAATTTTTGTAATTTTAGTAGAGACGAGGTTTTGCTATGCTGGCCAGGCTGGTCTTGAACTCCTGACCTCAAGTGATCCACCTGCCTTGGCCTCTCAAAGTGCTAGGATTACAGGTGTGAGCCACTGTACCTGGCCCCCTCTCTGTTAAATGAACAATTCCATGCCCACCTCCTCAGGCTGTTTTGAGAATTAAATGAAAATAAGGACAAGTCCCAGCAGACTTTGTAAACTATCAAGTGCTACACAGACGCCAGCACTTCTCTGAGTCTGTGAGGCTTACAAGTTCTAACAAAGCAGAGGAGTGGAAACTCCAGCTCTTGTCTCGTCGGTATCTTGGTGAAACACAGACCTGGATCCAAATCTTGCCTCTGCCACTTCCTGGCTTCGTGGCCTCGGCAAGTCACCTGCCCTCTCTGAGCCTCCTCTCCATCAGGTACAGATGCGAGATGATGGAAAGACTCGCCTGCAGCTTTGTGGAGAGGCCCATGAGAGAAGGCAGGTCTGGTGTTTGGAGTCCTACCTGGCTCCATGCTCTGAGCCATTATGTGCTGTGACTGGGGGTGGCACCGGCTTCTGCCTGAGAGTGAAGTAGCTCTCAACAGCTAATCCTGCAGTAAATGGGTGGGGTTTGGCAGGGGGCCAGGGTTTTTAATTAGCTCCTGCCCTGAGATGAGGCAGTTGTGGCTCCACTGTCAGCAGTGACAGTGTAGTGCCTGCAATGAGCTGGGACGTCCAGGCCACCTCCCTCTGCCTCAGAGGGCTGCCTGCACTGCCTCCTGACCTGCCTAGGCTTCACCTTCCCAGCAGGCCAGGCCCAGCCTCCACCGTGACCATTAGCACTCCAGGCAGTAGCCAGAGGGGTCTTTCTCCAGTGCAGCTGTGACCAGGCTCCCACTTCCAGCCCTCAGTTATCTCCTGTGCTCTTCACGAAGCCTGCACGGCCACTCTGGCCCCTCCCGGGCAGGCTCTCCTATCTGGCCATACTGACCTTCTCTCTTTTTCTTTTTTTTTTTTTTTGAGATGGGATCTCATCACCAGGCTGGAGTACAGTGGCATGATCTTGGCTCACTGCAACCTCTGCCTCCTCGTTCAAGTGATTCTCCTGCCTCAGCCTCCCAAGTAGCTGGGATTACAGGTACCCGCCACCACGCCTGGCTAATTTTTGTAGTTTTAGTAGAGAGGGGGTTTTGCCATGTTGACCAGGTTGGTCTTGAACTTCTGACCTCATGATCTGCCCACCTCAGCCTCCCAAAGAAGTGCTGGGATTACAGGTGTGAGCCACCATGCCCAGCCTACGTTGACCTTCTCTAAGTGCCTCAGGACCACCAGGCCTTGGCACCTGCTGTTCCCTCTACCTGGGGCTCCCTCCTCCCTCTCTTGCTAAATGAACTTGCCCTCAGGATTTCACCTTCAATATTGCTTCTGCCCAGTGGGGCACTGGTTTCCTCCTCATGTGCCAGAGGCTCCATGACCCACAATCAGCCCACATACCATGTTTTGGCAAAACTGCGGGTTCATCCTCTATCTCTTCACTGGTCCCTAAACTTCAGGAGGCTAGGGACGGTGCCCGCTTCCTCACACTGCCTGGTTCACCGGTGCTATCAAGTGTGTGTTGGTTGACAAGGACGTCCTAAGCGCCACCTCCTTAGCACCAGGCACCTATTTCCTGTGTTCCCCTTGAATTTTAGCAACAATCTCACAAAGGAGGGTTATTGCTGAGGAAACCAAGACCCACCACCAGGCATGGTGGCTCACGCACACGCCTGTAATCCCAGCACTTTAGGAGGCTAAGGTAAGCAGATCACCTGAGGTCAGGAGTTAAAGACCAGCCTGGCCAATATCGTGAAACACTGTCTCTACTAAAAATACAAAATTAGCCAGCCGTGTTGGCACACACCTGCAGTCCCAGCTACTTGGGAAGCTGAGGCAGGAAAATCGCTTGAACCTAGCAGGTGGAGGTTGCAGTGAGCCAAGATTGGGCCCTGGGCAACAAGAGCGAAATTCCTTCTCAAAAATAAAAATAGAAAAAAGAAACCAGGGCCCAGAGAGGGGAACTGGCTTGCTCGAGGCCAGAGCCAGTGAGTGACAGCATGGCAGGACTGGACACCAGGCCTGGCTGGCACCACTAAAGGCCCACCCACAACAGCTGGCTTGGTTTCTGGGCCCTGCCCCACTGGCACCGGGTCCAGCAGCTTGCATCCCTACAAGCCAGGTGCTCTGTGCACAGACCACACCTCGTGTGGGCCTTTTCCATTTCCTGTGTCTCCAGGTGCATGAGTGGCTTGATGCAGGTCTTGGAGGCATTCACCATGTTTCACTGGAGAGGGTGAGTGGGAGGGACGGAGCAATAAATCTCTGTGTGGCCTCATGACAATCTGCCATCCTTTCCTCTGATGAGGTCTACATGGGGAGGAAGATGGGAGCCACTCATCCCTGGCTCTGACTCCTTTCTCTCTACAGAGGCAGATGCAGGCTCCACGGAAGGATCCCACCAGGAAGTGCCCAGCTCCAAGATCTGCCAGCAGCCCCAAACAGCCTCCTGCAGAATACGTCTACACAGTGAGTCCCGGCGCCCAGGCTCCCTCCACTGCTCTTTCTTTCTCTCTTTCTTTCTTTCTTTCTTTCTTTCTTTCTTTCTTTCTTTCTTTCTTTCTTTCTTTCTTTCTTTCTTTCTTTCATGTTTCTTTCTTTCAGACAGATTCTTGCTCTGTCACCCAGGCTGGATTGCAGTGGTACGATCTCGGCTCACTGCAACCTCTGGCTCCAGGTTCGAGCGATTCTCTTGCTTCAGCCTCCTGAGTATCTGGGATTGCAGGAGCACGCCACCATGCGTGGGTAATTTTGTACTTTTAGTAGAGACGAGGGTTCACCATGTTGGTCAGGCTGGTCTTGAACTCCTGACCGCATGATCAGCCCACCTCTGCCTCCCAAAGTGCTGGGACTACAGGCATGAGCCACTGTGCCTAGCCCCCTTCTTCAGTCTTATACCAGCTGTGTGACTTCTCCTAGCCTCAAGTCCCTCATCTGTAAAATAGAAACAATTCCCACCTTGTGGAATGTCTGTGAAGCTGAAAAGAGATGACATGTGCAGGCCCCCTGAAAAGCATACAAATGCCAGGTTCCCCCCATGCCCTGCTCCCCTCCTTGACATGGCCCCTCACTCTGGAACAAGTAAGGGCACAAGTTGGTGAGGGTGAAGAAAGCTCCTTCATCTGACCAAACAACTCTCCCCACTTCCTCCTGTTTTTATTGCACAAACAACACGAGGAAGAGGTCAGGTGCCATCCCACACCATTAATACATCAGTGATTTTTAACTATTTGCTCTCCTCCCCTCCTGGCACACGCAGACATGGTCACCATCACAGCGGCGACATGGGTTGGGACCCTGTTTGCTCCACTCCCTGCTGTGTCCTAGGCATTCTCTGAAACGATCTTCCTGGAGATATGGGTGTGGCTGTGGCATAGGGGATGAGGAGGCCAGGCTGCCGGTCAGCACGTGGCCCTCGGCCCAGTAGCTGGGGCTCAGGAGGGCAGGGAATACTCTTCTTGCTATGCTCCTTTCAGCTCCATGAGCAACATATGCTCCAAGCAGAGCAAGTGAAGAACAAATGCCACCCAGTGCCAGCTGGGGTCCCCATCCCATGAGATCTGGCACTGCCAGGTGGGCTCTCCACTCCATGCCCGGGAGGCACAGAGCCCTTCTGGGGCCCTGTGGTTCCTGCAGGTACATGATCCCTGGTTGCGTGGGCACTTGGGTTCTCCTCACACGTGCTGCAGTTTCTGTCCCCACAACATCAACTCACTCTAACTACACTACCAAACTCCACACAGAGGACGCATTGTCTGCTGAGAATGGGCGGGTAGCATCGAGGCCAAGGAAACCTCCCTGTGGGGAAGTGCCAACAGTTAGTTCCAAAGTGGAAAACGACATTTCTCAGAGGGCTCTCAGCCTCTCTGCCCTGGGGAATTTCCATCAGCCACGGCTTCGCACGTGGCCAGAGCCTTCCTCATATTCTCTCCTGTCTCCCAGCATCTCGTGGTGGTATTTTCCCTACCAGGGATTCTGGTGTCAACTGTTAGATGAAAATATTTTCTCTCTCTCTCCCTCTCACTCTCAACTTTTCCTCTCCCCAGCGTACACATATGTGAAATATATATATATATATATTATATATATATATTATAACTAGCATCCTAATCCCATCTTCTTCCAGGATAAATGCTAGTAACATTGATTAATATATTTTTCAATATTTTTTCTATAAATATATACAAAGAAACCCATACACACTCACACATCCTTCTTTTTTAATTGAAGTAATAGAGCAATTTTTCATGAACATCCTTCCACACGAATAAATATCCTTCTATGGGATTATTTTTAATAGAAGAGCTCTTTTGAAAAGTAGAGCTCCCTTTCTTCCTGGGTTTAGAAGCTGCTAGGACTCAGCCTGACTTCTCTGAAGAGAGCTACCTGCTTGCAGGGTTGCGAGGCAGCTTGGAGAGGAGCAATCATAGGACTTTGCTGAGCCTTTGACACAAGGGTCTACCCACTGGGATTGGACCTGGGCAGAGGACAATGGCACTCACAGAGACGATGATATCAAGTGCCATTTGTTGTGTACCTACTATGTGCCAGGCATCATGGCAGGACTTTGCACCTGCTATATTTTATCAACCCTCTTAATAAACTTTGGGGTATAGGTGTTGTCCCCATTTTCACTTTCTTTTCTTTCTTTCTTTTTTTTTGAGATGGTGTTCCCCTCTTGTTACCCAGGCTGCAGTGCAATGGCGCGATCTCGGCTCACCGCAACCTCCACCTCCTGGGTTCAAGCAATTCTCCTCCCTCAGCCTCCTGAGTAGCTGGGACTACAGGTGTGCACCACCATGCCCAGCTAATTTTTGTATTTTTAGTAGAGACGGGGTTTCACCTTGTTGACCAAAATGGTCCTGCTCTCTTGACCTCGTGATCCACCCGCCTCAGCCTCCCAAAGTGCTGGGATTACAGGCATGCGCCACCATGCACAGCTAATTTTTTATTTTTGGTAGAGATGGGGTTTCTCCATGTTGGTCAGGCTGGTCTTGAATTCCAAACCTCACGTGATCCACCCACCTCGGCCTCCCAAAGTGCTGGGATTACAGGTGTGAGCCACCGTGCTGGCTTCACTTTATTTTTTAATCATCTATTGCTACTACTTCAATTTATTTTTTTAAAATGTGACCTATTCTTTGGGAGGCCAAGGTGGGCAAATCACCTGAGGTCAAGAGTTTGAGACTAGCTTGGCCAACATGATGAAACCGCATCTCTACTAAAAATACAAAAATTAGCTGGGTTTGGTGGTTCATGCCTATAGTCTCAGCTACTTGGAGGCTGAGGCAGGAGAATCACTTGAACCCAGGAGGCAGAAGTTGCAGTGAGCTGAGATCATGCCACTGCACTCCAGCCTGGGTGACAGAGACTTTGTCTCAAAATGGATAAGTAAATTAAATAAACTTAGAAATAAAGAGCAAACTTGATTAAAAGCATGAATTTGGGGTGAGTCAGAGAGACCCAGCAAAACCCGCATCCAAGGCTTGTTCTTTTGCTCACTGGTTCTGCTACTTAAACTTCCTGAGTCTTCATTCCATGATCTACAGTATAGGGTTAACAGTGCAATCCTGGTTTACAGCTTACAAACATGCCGTGACTTCTTCCGGCTGAAATTCCTTGAGCCCGCCTCTCCCTCGGGCTCCCTGCCCTTTCTCCACAGCACCTTAGAACAGACAGAGTTGCTGGTGGCTCAAGCCTGTAATCCTAGCACTCTGGGAGTCTGAGGCGGGTGGATCATGAGGTCAGGAGTTCAAGACCAGCCTGGCCAATATGGTGAAACCCTGTCTCTACTAAAAATATAAAAAATTAGCCAGGCGTGGTGGCACATGCCTGTAGTTCCAGCTACTCGGGAGGCTGAGGCGGGAGAATCACTTTAACCCAGAGGTGGAGGAGTTGCTCCACTGTTGTCAGGTCCCTCTCACCTTCAGCCCCTCTCCTCTCCTCTCCTTTCTGTTCTTCTTTGTTTGCTTGCAGCCCTCCTCTTTGCCAGAACCTTCCTTCTCAGTCCTCACTGATTCCACATCGTTAAACCTATGGGCAGTTCTCGTCCTCACCTCCCTTGATGAATCAGCAGCATCTGACACCCTTGAGCTCTCCCTCCTCCTCACACACTTTCTTCACTTGCTTCCAGAACATTCTACCCTCTCCTGATCTTCCCCTGCCTTGCTGCCATGCCTCCTTAGTCCCTTTCGCTGGTTCCTTCTCCAGAACCAATGGAAACCTGACCTGCAAAGATTGAAGTAAATGTTGGAACTCATCCTTCGACCCCTCTTCTCCCATCTTCACTCCCTCCACTGAGTGACCTCATTTGGCCCCAAGGTTCTGAAGACCATTTACATCCTGACAACTTGCAACTCTATATTTCCAGCCCAGACATCTCTGAACACAGGAGTCAACCCCATTTGAATGTCTAAATGGTGTCTCTCTCAAACCAAACTCCAATTTTTCTTTTCTTTTTTTTTTTTGAGACAGTCATTTGGGCCCCAAGGTTCTGAAGACCATTTACATCCTGACAACTTGCAACTCTATATTTCCAGCCCAGACATCTCTGAACACAGGAGTCAACCCCATTTGAATGTCTAAATGGTGTCTCTCTCAAACCAAACTCCAATTTTTCTTTTTCTTTTTTTTTTTTTGAGACAGTCTTGCTCTTGTAACCCAGCCTGGAGTGCAGTAGCAAGATCTTGGCTCACTGCAACTTCCACCTCCCAGGTTCAAGCGATTCTCTTGCCTCAGCCTCCTGAGTAGCTGGGATTATAGGTGTGCACTGCCACACCCGGCTAAATTTTTGTAGAGATGGGGTTTCGACATGTTGACCAGGCTGGTCTCGAACTCCTGATCTCAAATGATCCACCCACCTCAGCTTCCCAAAGTGCTGGGATTACAGGCATGAGCCACTGTGCCTGGTCTCAAATTCCAATTCTTTGCCCCTCTGTGTGCCTCTTCCCCCCATCTCCTCATCACTGCTTTATTCTTCCCATTGCTCACTGGAAATGTTGAAGTTGTTCTCTCCATCTGTCTTTCAATCACTGCCCATATCTGATCCATCAGAAAATCTTGCTTCAAGACGTATCCAGAATCCAACTCTTCTTACTGCCCCAGCGCTAACAGTGGTGGGAGCCAGTCCCATTTCTTGCCTGGAGTCCTGCAGTTGGTCTCTAAGCAGCTGGTCTATTTTATCCTCTCCTCTCCCCATGTCCCCTACCCCACCCCCACCCCTGTTTGTTTTCCACCTGGCAGCAGTCAGTGATCCTGCTAAGCCATAAACAGATCATGGCTCTCTGAGACAGAGACACCAAGATGGGGTTAGATGAGCAAGGGTTTTTTTTTGTTGTTTTTTTTTTGAGACAGAGTCTCACTCTGTTACCAGGCTGCAGTGCAGTGGCTTGATCTCCGCTCACTGCAACCTTCACCACCCGGGTTCAAGCAATTCTCCTGCCTCAACCTCCCTGGTAGCTGGGACTATA